AGTTGCCTCTTCTCTCTTTTATGACCTTTAATTTTTGTATAACTTGATCTTTTCCAACATATGCTTCATCTATTATAAAAGGAAAAGAAAAACATCCTCTCATACTTTGGCTCTTTCTAAGGAACCGGCACAGTAAATTATCCTCCTCTATTTCAGTAATTTGTCCCACGTATTCTTCAAAGTTGCCTCTTACAGTTTCAAATTTTACCTTAACAAAATCATCTATTTTTAGGTTATTAATATTTACAGTTTCATAATTTCTTCAGTCTCATAAATTTCTTCAGTCTCATTAATTTCTTCAGTCTCATAGTTATTTTCATTATTTTTATTTAGTTCAGTCACATTAGTGTTAATTTCAGTATCTGTGTTTAATTCTTCTTCATTATAACCTTCTGTGTCTCGGACTTCTTCTTCATTAAACATATTAGCTTCGGTTACACTCCGACCTGGCTCTATATTAAATCTTTTTCGTCTGCATTTCTTTGCTGGTCCATCGTTAGAACCAAATCTTGTTTCTTTAAATAAATCGTGAAGTACTTGTGGAATAATAGAAGAGCTTGTGGATGAGTTTGGATCTCCTGGTAATTTATTTAATACCTTTTCTCGGTCTAACGGGTATATGCCAGTAGCTTTAAACCCAGATTTAATATTATCAGATTGAGAAATTTCAAGTTTTTCTAATGTTTTTTTTAGTATACTTGGAAACACATCTTTTGTAAGTGGTCCTTTTCTTTTTAATTTATGCATCTTCAATACTTTACGCCATGCTATTTTCATAGGCCGAAAACAACACACATCCAATGGTTGAGTCAGGTGTGTGCTGTTGGGGGGCAGAAATATAAATTTAATATCGTGTTGCTTGCATAGTTTAACAATATTCACCGAAATGTGACTTGCCAAGTTGTCTCCAATAATAACTTTAGTTCCATCCAAACGACGGCAATGTGGAATAATTATAGTTTGAAACCATTCTTCAAAAATTGGTTGATCAAACCACCCAGAGGGTGATCTGTTGTATCTACACCCTTCTGGCCCTCCTAATGTCCAAGGTTCCCACATCTGGAGGGATTTGTATACAACATATGGAGGAAGCATAACACCAGATGCATCGATAGCAAACATAACCGATGTAGCAGACTTTGTTGAATCCATAATTGAATCAGCATGTTTATTTTTTTTTCTCACTAAAACTTTTGTTCTACCCGGATCATCTATAAAATTTGTCTCATCATAGTTAATAATGTTTTGCGGTGGTACATTTTCTAAACTTAATTCAAGGTTATTAAAATATTCATTGATGGTAGTTCTTGAGACAGCAGCTCGTGATCTTTTGATATTCTCGGAAAGTCTAGGTTTCAAAAGACCAGAATGTCTGGATACAAAACGTGTGTACCAATCATCGCCAGGTTTATTGTTTTTWWATATTTTTATTTTTCGGCCRGCACGATCTAAGTATGACTTGATCAATCTCTTAAYTTCTTCCCTATCAAAAGGGTAACCCCAATCAGATGCAAATAATATTGTTTCTACAATATTATCTTCTTCAGTTGAAGTTAAAGCTGTTTGGCCACCGTGGGGATTAAGATTTAGTTGGTTTTTTTTCCTACTTAAAGTGCTTATTGGTATACCATACTTATCAGAAGCCTGTCGGTAAGTCAATCTATTATTTCGGATTTCGTTCAATGYATTTTCTAAAGTTTYTTCCGAAAAATTTCGGTAAGTACGACTGCCGGGTGTTCGTTTATAATAGTTCGGCATGTTCCAAGTCACCCAATTATTTTTTACGGAAAATAAAACCAACCCYGAAAAATGTAAATAATATTATTTCCTAATTCTACTTAACAATTAACACTAACAACACATTAGGAATTCACTAAAAAATAACAATACCTTGAATTTTGAAGCTGAAGTACCACTTTTGCAGCTCTTAATTAAGGAGTTGAAAATTTGGATTTTTTTTATTAAATTATGGTTGTATCACATGGCTTATTGATAAGAGATAACACATTTTCGATGATAATGAAACGTTTACAAAACGTTCCGAAAAATATTGCTGTGGAGGCAGAATTTTATTTCCCTTATCTAGTATAAAATTAAACGCTGTTATCAAAAAATAACACAATTGTTCCAAGTCACCTCCCAGTTCCAAGTCACCCTGATTGACGGTATAAAATATTTAAATATAGCATACATTTTTTTTTCATGTTAAAAATTGAAAAAAATTTAATTTCTTACCTACTTATCAATTACAATTAATTATATATTTCTAAA